TATGAGGGTGTCTTTGTTGTTGTTTTTTACAACTAGGTTAAGTATATGTGAAAGTTTTATTTTCATTATTAATATGATAATGTACATTTTTTTTTCCAGCACAAGAATGCTCGAGAGATGAGTTCCGATGTGGAGATGGATCATGTATACCTGGTGCATTAAGATGTGACAGAAAGTATGATTGTGCTGACGGAGCAGATGAAGTTGGCTGTCGTAAGTAGTTTTAAATATTTGGAACAAAGGTTTCATTTCAACCTATTTTTACAAAGGCATTTTATTTTAATACCATATGTGTAAGAATTTGTGTGTATATAAGTACAGATTATTCTAATAGTACCAAGGTCGCATCTATTTGTTAAAATTCTTAGGTGATTTCAAAATACTGAAATAAAATATATAATTACACGATGTATTGGTTGCAAACAAGTGGTTAATTTTAGACCTGTTCAATATCTTCTATGACCATTCTTGTTCATAGATTTCATAAAGTAAGTTATTGTTTGAATTTAAATGTAAAATATACAGTTAAAAATTATACAATTAAAACTATACATGTTTTGGTGTACAAAAATTCCACCATCTCCATGAAGCCAGAAGAAACACTTACATAATTAAATTATTTAGTCTCCTTTCCAAGTTATTATGTTTTAGTCTTACTTTTTCCAGTTTCCACCAACTTTATGCTTTAAATGTATTCCATAACTTGTGTATATTCGTAGCTAATTTTACATGTAGACAGTATAATTTTGATTCTGTTTTTGCAGTTTCACTCCTTTTCTCCTCGATGATATTACTAAGAATTAACTTCGTTTGTTTAATAATAAATTTGACTATTATTTCTTAAATTACACCTCACTTTTATACTGTTAGGTATTTGTTGCATTTCGTTAAAAAAAACAGTTGATTTAGTTGTCTTCTGTGTAGGCTTCTGAGTATGTTTAAAACTCTGTGCTCTTCTTTTTTTGTCTTCCATAGCCTAATTCGCTACCACAAAGTTCTTGTTCTATACTTTTGTTATTGTTATTAGCAGAATCCAGTTATCCGTATAGGAAAATGTAGTCTTGATTAAGCAAAAACTGCAAGCTTGACGTCGAAAATGTTTGTTTTTTTTTCTTGTAGGTATACATTTGAAATCCTGTGTATATCATTAATTTCGTTAAAAATAAAACTGAATTAAAAGATACGTGAAATATACAAAATCTCTTGCAGTTGTAACTTGATTTATATCAGACAGACAAGTAGAAATCGGAAGATTTGAATTAATGAACACAAAAATGGTGTAGAAAAATTAAAAACTAGTGATTTGGTCTTAGCAGAATGTGGAAAACTCTTTGCATAACTTTGAATGGGATAAAGTTAAAATACTTGAGGAAGTTGAGCTAAAAGAAATGACATAAGCATAAAAGAATCTCTAGAAATTGTTAAACATAAAATAATTTTGAGTAGAGATTTAGGCCCAGGTGCCACAAAAGTAAATTTTTGGAAATCTATTTTGTAGAGGGCACTGTACAAATGTAAATTACACTCCTATACCTCATTGTATAAAAATGAAACTTCCTATGTTTCTTCTGGCCTCCTGGAGATGGTGGAATTTTTTACACCAAAAAATGTATAGTTTTTTATTGTACATTTTATTTTTGACTTTATACAATAAATTATTGTGCTTTTTTAAGTGTTGAAATTCTTACTTTTTTTTGTTATTTAGACCTATTATATCTGATTGTGTTGATTACTTTAGATGCCATTAATACTGGATGAATCAATGTCAGTGTTAAGGATATGTGGTATATATTATGTGATAAAAATATTAATAATTCACAATATTTCACAACAAAAATTAATTATGTCATATTAAGAATGGGGAAGGGAATTGTTGTTACAACTATATCACACTTCTCTTGTGTGTGGATATATATGATATATATGATATAAAAGGCTGTTCAGTGTAGTTATTAATTTATTTATTTTGTGATTTACTATTTTATGATTATTTAGTGTTTTTTATAATAAGAGCATTAAAAGCAGACACTTGTTGGTAGTTGTGTTTATAATACATTTATGTTGAGACTATTGAATGTCACGTGCAATACATCAATGTTGAGAATATAAGATAATTCTAGAAGGCAGCAGACAATTAAGTGATAAATATGTAATTAATGTGAGATGAGCAGGAGCAGAAGAAACAGAAGAAATTGAGAAAGTAAACTTGCAGGAAGTAGAAGGGTGGCCAAATGAAAGGTTAGAAAATGTAAAATTAAATGTCATAGGAGTGAATAGCCTACTGGTTTATATGTTAAAATGAGTTTAACAGTTTTCTGACATTTTAGGAGAATAATTTATCTTGTCAAAGGGTGTTCTAAAGCAATTGAACCTGCATGTGTGGACTTTGACAAAAAAGCAGACTGTTATTGGAAGTAGGCCTAAATACGAAAAAAACAGACAGAAAATATCAGACAACAGAAGAGGAGAGTAAAGTCATGGCCAGGGAAAAGTTGTGCAGATAACTTTATAGAAGTGATAGGCCTAACGTTTAATATGTTAGAGTAAGACTAACAGTAGAAAAGAGATAAGAAGAATAATTTATTTTGTCAAAGCGTGGTTCTAAAGTAATTGAATCAGCCTGAGTGCACTTTGACAAAAGAAACAGAGGATATTTTGAAGAAAGAAGACCAAATGATTACTGTGAATTATACATAGAATACTAGTGCAATAATAATATGGAAAGGTAGTTCAGATTGACAACTGAAATTCTAAAGAAATTGAAGATGTCTAAGTGGACTTTTGAGAAGAAGAAAACCATATAGTGTTTATGATATACCTATAATATCTGTCTCTCTCGTATATATTATTTTCATAAGTTGAGTGCGTGCTGTTCATTCATCATTCAATTTATTGCCAACAAGTCACAGACACCTACTGCAGAAGAATCCTAAGCTCAACAACAACACCAATCTTATTCAACTTACTTACTAAATACTACTACTATGTATAATATAAAAAAAA